CTCCCCCGCCAGGAGGGGGGCCCCGGAGGGGTCCCGGGTCCGGACCCAGGTCAGGTAAGCTTCCCCTCCGGGGGCCTCCCGGGCCGCAAAAAGATCTCCAGACAGGCCAGGAGTGCCCCAGAAGCTCCCAGAGACAGTCCGCGAGGGCCCCGGATCGCCGAACGATCTGTCCAAGACGCCTGGACGGCCTCCAGACGGCCCAAGAATCCTGCAAGACGCTCAAAGAGGCGTTCAGGAGCAGTCCCAAGAGTGCCTCAAGAACAAAAATCGTATACTTCTCACAGATTGCTTAATGATCTCGGCGTTCTCGCCTCTCCCGCTTCCCAACGCTCCAAGGCGGCCCAAGCGGCCTCCCAGATCGCCCCCAGACAGCCCCAGAGGCCTCCACGAGCGATCGAAAACGGCCCATGAGAGTCCCAAGACGGCCCAAGACGCCTCCAAAAGGGCCCCAGAGGCCCCCAGGACGGCCCCAAGACGGTGCCGAAACGACGGACCAAAACGATTTCGAGCCCTCCGCCCCGAGTGCTCCCCGGAGAAACCACGAGGCCCCCAAAAGGCCCCCAAGAAGCCCCGAAGAAACCCCAAGCTTCTCCCAAGAGGCCCGCGGGAAGCCCCAACAGGTCCCCAAGAGGCCCCTTAGGGACCCCTACACTGTCCCCCGTGGCCCCCAAGAGCATTTCGACCAGACCCCAAGAAGCATCCCTGAGGACTCTGACCAACGTCAGCGTCGTCGTCGTCAGCAGCCCGACGGCGTATACACATTAAAGTGGTTGCCGCGCTGCCCTTTGTCGTGGTGGCGACACACCAGCCCCATCCTGGTAAATGGCGAGTCCATGGCGACGCCTCCTGCATGCAGCTCCTCATCCCTCCTCCCCATCATCTCCCCGCCTCCCTCCTTTTCCCCTTCCCCTTCACCTCCTCCGCCCCCCTCTCCTCCTCCCTCCCATTCCTTAACTTCTTGAACAGTTTCATCGTTGCTGCCTTCGTCGTCGCCCCCCTTCCGGATCGGCGGCACCGGCCGTGAGGCCTTCGCAGTCCGACGCGAACCCGACGTAACTCGGACGTTGATCCGACGTAGATTGGGTCTCGAGCAAGGCAGAACCTAAACGGTGTTTTTCGTTTTCGCTTTGCTTTCGTTTTCCCTCGTTCTGTCTTCAATCCGCCTTTGCCGCAGAACGAAATCGAAACGAAAACGGCCCACGAAATCGCCGAAACACCGTTTGGGTCCAGCCCGGGTCTCGAGTGGTCGCGCGGGGCCTCCGGGATGTTCCTCCTGACAAGTCTCAGCAGACCCACCTGGAGGCCGCGGTCCCGTGGGCCCCTGGCCCCGCGGCCCTGAGCGGGAGCTGACACCTCCCTCCGAGATCTCCGGACACACACACTCCCTGCGCGGGTCGGCGGCGAGAGCAAGGGGCGGAGGAAGGCGAGGAGGAGAAGGCCTTCGTCTCAGAAGGCGGCGGGACTTCCCAGAGGCCCTCGCGGCCTCTGGCAGATTTTGGAGGAGCGTTTATCCGATCCCCATCCCCAGCGGCGTGGCCTGGGCCCCACTGGCCGATGTACCCCCCTAGATAGGGGACACAGGCCGTTCCCTTCGGGCTTCGAGGGGTGCATCCCCAACTGGGGGGCTCATTTGGTGGGGGTCGCGAAGGGGATGGGGATGGAGACGGGGATCGGATACTCCAGATTTCGTAATAAAGGGAGGGGGGTCTCATTTCGGGGGGGGTCTCTTCCAGGCAGGGAGCGAAGCTCGGCGGTGGATGCGACCGCTCCTCGGGACGATCGACATGGGTACGTAAAGAGCAGCCACTGGGGCCTTAGGTGGAGCTCCCTATGGGGCCACGAAACGCTGCCCTGGGTGGGGGAACCGCATGCGACCCCCCCAACTGGGGCCATCGGAGAATGGGTACGATGCCCTGCAGCAGTTCCTGCTCATTTTGAGCAGGACTCCCTGTCCGCGCCGCCGCGGACGTTTGTTCTTTCAAGACACACAAAAACAAAAAACTAAAAAAACACCAACAACAAAAAACGCCTGCCCAACAGAGGCCGCTGTCGGTGTTGGGCAACATTTGCTGTTGGGCATTACACCTATTTGTCCGTACCCAGCGGTCGGAAGAAGGAGGAAGAAGCATGAAGTAGGAAGGCGCTGAAAGTAGGTTTGGTGTCCGACCGCCCTACAAGGACGACGGAAAAGGCGAGAAGCCACTCGATCCTTGAAGTAGAAGGGCGCTTAAAGTAGATTGGAATCTGGAAATCCAAAAATTGGAGGCCTCCTAGAAGGGGTCGGAGTAGACGGGGTCGGAAGATCGCGCCGCATCAACGATGCACCGGCGATGCATCGGCGATGCATCGGGGATACACCAGCGACGCATCGTCGACGTCGGCGGTGCATCAGCGACGTCGGCGTGGAGAAACTCGGGCCCCACATCGAGCCGCATCGGCGATGCATCGGCGATGCGGCGCGATCCCCTGACCCCATTTACTCGGACCCCATCTAGGATTAGGTCGGGCGTGTCCCCGTACAGGCGGATTCGGGAGGAAAAATTAAAAATACTCAACAATACTCGAAAATAATCAAAAATAGTAGAAAAATCGTCACTCGATTATTTTTTCTCACCCATCCTGTGGTGTTGGGACCTCGTTTTGAAGAGACGGCGCCCCGCGTCACTCACTCACTCCTCCTCCCCCTCCTCCCTCCTTCTCCCCCTCCTCCTTCCTGCGTTTCACCCACGAGCGCGTTTCTTTCTGTTCGGCGATGACGGGCGTCATGGGGGGGGGGGGGGGCGAAGGGGGGGTATGACGTAACGCCCCCCCCGCCGCCGTGTGGCTCCGGCACCGCAGCCGCGCCCGCGCGCGCGACGCGACGAGCGACGAACGACGAGCGACGACGACGACGACGACGACGACGACGCGAGCAACATGTAGGCCGCGATATGCCCCACTGCGCCCGTGTACACCACAGCGCTCGCGTGCACCACAGCGCGCGTGTATACCACAGCGCCTGCGTAAACCGCAGAAATCGTCTGCAACGCAGCGCCTGTGCACACCACAATGCTTGCGTACACTACAGCGCTGGTGTACATGTGCACACCGCAGCTACCATGTTCAACACAGCGCCTGTGTACACCACAATGCTTGCGTGCACCGGAGCGCCTGTGCACGCCACAGAGCGTGTCTACACCACAGCATCCGCGTGCAACGCAGCGCTGGTGTACACCACAATTCCTGCGTGCATAGGACAGGTAGAAGGAGCATGTACGTGAGGGTTTGCTGCGGACAACTAGATGCCACGCCAGGAAAGTGCTGCTCATCGAATGCGACGATATTCCCTCATCCCTCCCCCTCCACCTCCACCACCTCCTCCTCCTCCTTTTCTTCCTCCTCCTCCTCCTTACCCCCTGTCGTGCGGGTTGGCGTTACAACGCAGGTGCGCATCTCAGCGCGCACCGCAAAATGGTCGATTGAATCGATCCACTTGGTTCTCGGACGGCCAATTTAGCTGGAGCCTGCTGGACGCAGATGGGAGGAGTTAGGGTGATGCGGGCGGACCCGGGAGGACTCGTAGATTCCAGCGGCGTTCCGTTGTCCAGAAGAATTATTTTCTATGGTTTGCGGAATCCACAAGCGCTGCACTTTGTCATAAGGCTTCCATCTAACATTCTATATACAACAGTGGTTCTGTTGCTGTGGTGCACACAGGCGCCGTGGTGTACACAGGCACTGCAATGCACGCAGGTATTGTGGTGTACACTGGTGCTGTGTTGCATACGGCTGTGGTGTACGCAAGCGCTGTGGTGTGCACAAGAGCTGTTGTGCCCGCAGGCACGGTGGCACAAACTGACTCTGTGTTGCACGCGGCTGCTGTGGCTTACATAGGCGGTGTGGTGTACACAGGCGCTGAGGTGCACGCAGGCACTGTGGTGTGCACAGGCGTTGTGGCGCAAGTCGCCACCTACATGCTGGCGCTACCCGTCCTCCGTCATTTCTAGGCATTCCCAGACGCCGCCGGCGCGAAACGTGACGTCATCGACCCCCTCCACCCCCCCCTAGATGGTTGCCTTCATCGGCCCAGAATAAAAAGCAGGCTTCAGCCGCATCCGCGCGCACGACGACTATGAGCGACGAGCGACAAGCCACGAGCGACGACGACGACGACGACGAAGGAGGACCACTCCCATGCGGATTCCTACGCGGATCCCAATGCGCACGGCGGCAGTGCCCAGAGCGCACTGGGGGAAGGGAGCGTTACGTCATAGGGGGGGGGAAGCGTGGGCCATGACTCCCGTCATGCCCCAAGCAATAAAGAAACGGGCTCCACCCAGTACAGCGTTCCGTGGCCCCATAAGGAGCTCCACCGAAGGCCCCAGTGCTACCGCCCGCATGCGTCATCCACACCCATTCCGGCACACCACTCACACGTTTCGTCCACATCCATTTCGGCACACCCCTCACACGTTTCGTGGCCCCATAAGGAGCTCAACCGAAGGCCCCAGTGCCACCGCCCGAATGAGTCACCCACACCCATTTCGGCACACCCCTCACAGGCTTCGTGGCTCCATAGGGAGCTCCACCGAAGGCCACAGTGCCACCGCCCGCATGCGTCACCCACAACCATTTCGGCACACCCCTCACACATTTCGTGGCCCCACAGGGAGCTCCACCGAAGGCCACAGTGCCACCGCCCGCATGCGTCACCCACACCCATTTCGGCACACCCCATCACGCGCTTCTTGGCCCCATAGGGAGCTCCACCGACGGCCCCAGTGGCTGCGTGTGCATGCGCCCACCGGACAAATTTTGACACACCCCTCACACGTTTCGCGGCCCTACAGGGAGCTCCTCCGAATGCGGTGCATACAACGACGGTGCTCACAACTGCGAATGGTTGGATCCTTCGCCAGACTAATTGACCATCTCTGGATCTTCCTCCTGTAAGAGGGACAGGCCCGACTTAACGCTCATCCCCGCCCCCTTGATACACGTTCGCGATCGCCTGGCATTTCGGGCGCCCGGAGCTCCTTTTTCCCCGACTGCGCGCAGGCCGGGCGGGCCCCCCAACAGCACAGCGCACCGCGGCGCGGGGGCGGCCGGGGCGCAGCGCGCCGGGGCCGCGCGAGCGGGGCGGTGTGCTCTCTCTCGCCGCGGTGGGGGGGGCCAGCGCCGCCCGCACGGGGGCCGGCAGCGCCCGGAGGCGGGCGAGCTCTGCGTCCTGAGGGGCGCACAGAGACGTACTGGTACTATATGTTCTCCCTGGAGGCACGCCTCCGACCCGATCATATAGTTTACCCATGTTGTAGCACATCGTTTCCCGAGCGGCGTGGCCACAAAGCGCTCGCCACGACGCATGTACTAGAAGATCTCTCGGTGGGCGCGTCGCTCCTGGGAGGGGGGCCACGCAAACATAGTTCGGGGGCGCGCAAGCATGGATCAACGATCCATGGATTTGGCGCGCGGTCGCCAAATCCATGGATCGGGGGAGGTGGCCTCCCCAAAATGCGGCCAGTGCCGCCCCGCTCGGCGGCGGAAATCCGCGATTCCCAATGGAAACTGGACCCGTTAATAATCCACGCCCCCTTTAATCCATATGTGCGATCGCCTGACAAACAACTGCTGGAAGTTGGGCGAAGGCTGGCACATCCGTGGCTGCTAGAACGGCATTCCCGAAAGAAAAAAAACAATTCCCAGAATCAAGCTCAGCGCACGAAATAATAAACGGGCTGTTTCCCCGAAGAAACAAAAACAATTTCCTGGAGCTCCGTTTTAACAGCCACGGGTTTGCCAGCCTTCGCCCGGCTTCTGAAAGAATGCGCTGGGAGTGTTTTGAGGGGCAACGCCAAGGGGGACTGGCACAGGGGGGGATGCATCGACCTGGAAACGGCGATGCATCGCCAATAAATTGGCGATGGGCCCCCGCCGCTTGTGAATCCGCACCTTGCTGCGCAGGTTACGGTTATCGGGCCGTTGTCTGCGATCAATGGGCGATTGGGGATCAATGAATCCCCCCCTATGCCAATCCCCCACTATCGTCGCCCGCGATTGCTACTGTTGGACAACCTACATGCGCCCTGGCGCGCTCGCGTCGGCGCCGGCTGCATGTCCTTTGAGATTTAGGCTCGCGCCCAGGCGTTTCGGGCTGGCACCGCCACGGGCCCCCCCAACAACAACAACAACAACAACAACAACAACAACAACAACAACGACGACAACACAAATCATTTTAAGACTGTTCGCTCGTATATGCGCGCGTGTCACTCAATATGCACATCCCAAGCCCTGGATACCCGCCCTCTTCGTCTTCGATCGCACCCCCTTTGGGGGGTATATTCAGTATCTGCCACGCGCGGTTGGCGAAGCACTTGGAAACGAAGGGTAACAGATAACAGGGGTGAGCGAGGACGAAGGGATCGGAGGAAGGAAGGAAGGAGGGGCAAGAAGGAGGGAGGACGATGATATGCGCTGCGAGGGGCGATTCAGCTTGCGCCATGGCTTGCGCCAGTCACTCCAACACAGGCTAACAATCAGTTTCGCCATGGGTCGCGCCATAAACAGCGCCACGTACCACCCCCCTTGAAAAAACATATCGTGGATACCCCCACGGGGGGACGTACAGCTGCGACCTGGTGTCAGAAACAAATTTCGTGGAACCCTGAAAGGAAGCGGGATGTTGGGAGAAAGTGGCGGAATGAGAGTGCGAACTGCAACCGCGTCGAGAGGAGCGCGGGGATGTGGAATGGATTGGGAGGGAGTGGACAAGAATAGAGTCTGAGGAAGAGGAGCGGCAAAGAGTGGAGAAGAGGAACCAGGAGGAGTGCGGAGGAACGGGGGGCGCACGGAGGAACCTGGAGGAGGGACTGGGAATAATTTGGGAGAAATGCGGAATGCGAGCGGGAAGGGGTGGAGATTGTTGGGGTGGGGTGGGGTGGCCTGGGGAGGAGTGGGCGGAATGCGAAGAACTGAGGAATAGCACAATGGAGTACGAACGAAATGAACATGACGATAAAAGGAAAATGCAAGACTCAAAAAAAACGTTGAAAACTGGGGGCAGGTGGATACGAGCGGAGACTGCTGCGGAAACAAGGCGCGGGGGGATTGGAAGGCACTGGAGCGCGCGGTTCTTCAATAAATTGTGAATAAATACCAAGCGGGAGCCACGATCTGGTGGTACATTGCAAGAAAATCCCAAGCGAGAGCGCGACTTCAAGAAATTGTGAGGAAGTATCAGGCCGGAGCCGCTGTTGTTGCAAACCGGGGGCCAACGACACAGTTTGACCCTCAAGACTCTCCCTCATAAAAAACAAGGTGCGAGCCACGGAAAGGCACTTAAATTGAAAAAAACAATGTGCACCAGACGGGGGGGATCAACAATAATTATTCTTCAGAAGTGAAAATTCAACAACAATTATTTTACCCTCATGCGCGATGCTTCCACACGAAGCATACGACCATCATGGTAACCATCCCCATCATGGGGGATGATTGTTTTATCGCGATGGTTCGGTATTCCCATTCCAAGATATCCCGCCCAAGGAGGTATTGCAAACACTTCCTCCGAGGAATTCCAACATATCCCGCCTCGAAAACACATGCCCGCGCCCTGCTACGCCGATGCGAGACCGCCAGTGGAGCTCCAGCCAAAGGTAAAGCACAAGGAAATATCAAACGACAGGATTGGCTTGGTAGGGATGGGCGCTGTCGGCGGCGAGGCAAGGACCTGGCCCTGAATAGAAAGGGAGGAAGTCTCGAGAAGGGGTGCTGTTGTTGCTGGAAGCGGCGCCCATGCAGAAGAGAGGTGGGCGCTAGTCCAGCGTGAAACATCACGAAGTCTCGAGCGGGAACGCTAGTTATGTTGGGACGGCGGCTGTCGGCGGCGAGGAGGAACACCGCCTTGAGTAAGAAGGAAAGAAGTCTCGAGCGGGAGCCGCGGTTTTATCGGGACGGGGGCAGGGCTGTCGGCGACGAGGAACAGCACCGTCTTCAGGAAAAAGGGAGGAAGCCTCGAGCGGAGGCTTTGTGCTAGCTGGGGGCGGTGCAAATTCAAAAGAGAGTTGGGCGCCAGTCCAGCGTAAAACGGGAGGCAGTCTCGGGCGGGAACGCTGGTGTTGGTGCGGCGGTTTTCGACGGCGATCAAAAGAACCGGCTCTAAGTAAAAAAGAAGTCTCGAGCGGCAGCGTTGTTCTTGCTGGGGGCGGCGCCGATAAGAGAAAGAGTAGCGCGCCAGTCCAAGGTAAAACGGGAAGAAGTCTCGAGCGGGAGCGTTGGTTTGTTGGGGCTGCGGTTTTCGGCGGCGAGCAAGAGCACCGGCTCTGGGTAAGAAAAAGAAGTCTCGAGCGGGAGCGTTGTTGTTGTTGGGGGGCCGGTTTGTGCGCCCCACCAAGCCGCTCGAGCGCGAGCCTCACTTTCAATGAAAGTGTAGCTGGCGCCGAGGCGAGAGCGCCAGAGCGCCGGGGGGGCCCAACTATAATCACTGCTTAGTAATTAACATTCAACTACAACACCAACAACAACATCAGCAGCAACAACAACAACAACAACATCAACAACAGCAACAGCAACAACAACAACAACAACACAACAACAGTAACAACAACAGTAAAAACAACAACCACAACAACAGCAGCAGTAACAACAACAACAACAACAACAACAACAACAACAACAACAACAACAACAACAACAACAACAATCATGTTAAGACTGTTCGCCCTTATCTGCTCGAGTGTCCAATAACGCGTATTTCCCAAACCCTCGATACCCGCCTTCTCCGTCTTCGATCGAACCCCACTTGGGGGGTATACCTTTCTTCCCTGCAGGCCAGGCCCCGGCAAGCGGCGGGGCGGCCGCGGACCGTCGGCCTGGCCAGAGTCAGCGCTGATCGGCGGGGCGGCCGCGGACCGTCGACCCGACCCCCAGAGGGACGGACAGGGGACCGACCACGACGAGGACGACGACGACGACGACGACGGCAACGACGACGACAACGGCGACGACGACGACGAGCGAAAGCGAGAGCGAGAGAGAACGACAGCAGGGCCACGAAGGACACGAAGTAGGCCACGGAGGGCGACAGCGGGGACACGAAGGGAATGCGTATGGGGCCACGAAGAGCGCGAACGAGCGGGGGCCACGAAAGGCAGATAATGCGGGGCCACAGAAGGCAACGATAGGGCCACTGAAGGTAGCAATTGGGCCACGTAGGACAGTGAGGGGGCCACACACGGCGACAGCGGGGCCACGAAGGGCATGCACATGGGGCCAAAACCGGCGCGAACGAGCGGGGGCCACGAAGGGCATACGTATATTGGGCCGCGGAGGGCAAGAACGGGGCCACTGAGGGCAGAAACGGGGCCACGAAGGGCAGCGAGGGGGCCACGAACGGCGACAGCGGGGCCACGAAGGGCATGCATATGGGGCAACCACGGGCGCGAACGAGCGGGGGCCACGAAGGGCATACATATGGGGCCACTCAAGGCAGCAAGGGGGCCACTAAGGGCCGCAACGGGGCCACGAAGGGCAGCGAGGGGGCCACGAAGGGCTGCAACGGGGACACGAATGGCTGCGACGGGGCCACGAAGGGCAGCGAGGGGGCCACGAAAGGCTGCAACGGGGCCACGAAACAAAGCGAGGGGGCCACGAAGGGCTGCAGCGGGGCCACGAAGGGCAGCGAGGGGGCCACGAAGGGCTGTGAATAAAATGCGAGGAAGTCTCGGGCGAGAGCGGGGGTTCTGGCTAAATTGTGAGGAAGTCTCAGGCGGGAGCCGTTGTTGTTGTAGTCCTGGGGGCAGGGGGCCAGTTTGAACAGGAAGACTTTCCCTGTCAAAAAACAGGGTGCGACCGTCGAGGGGGCACTTCAATTGAAAAAAACAATGTGCACTGGTGGGGGGGGATCAACACTAGTTATTCTTCAAGAGTGAGAGTTCAACAATCATTTTAAGACCGTTCGCCCTTATATGCTCGAGTGTCCAATAACGCGTATTTCCCAAACCCTCTATACCCGCCCCCTTCGTCTTCGATCGAACCCCATTTGGGGGGTATACCTTTCTTCCCTGCAGGCCGGGCCCCGGCAAGCGGCGGGGCGGCCGCGGACCGTCGGCATGGCCAGCGGCAGCGCTGATCGGCGGGGCGGCCGCGGACTGTCAACCCGACCCCAAGAGGGACGGACAGGGGACTGACCACGACGACGACGACGACGACGACGACGACGACATCTAACACGACGGCGACGACGACGACGACGACGGCGACGACGAGCGAAAGCGAGAGCGAGAGAGAACGACAGCAGGGCCACGAAGGGCACGAAGTAGGCCACGAAGGGCGACAGCGGGGACACGAAGGGAATGCGTATGGGGCCACGAAGAGCGGGAGCCACGAAGTGCAGATAATGCGGGGCCACAGAAAGCAACTATTGGACCAATGAGGGTAGCAACTGGGCCACGTAGGACAGGGAGGGGGCCACAAACGGCGACAGCGGGGCAACGAAGGGCACGCACATGGGGCCACAACGGGCGCGACTCCTGGGTGCCCGGGTGTCGGGAGCGCGGCGCTTAGGCAAATTGCAAGAAATTCCAACGCAAGGACATTCTGCAGTAAGTTGCAAGCCAGGTCTCCAGCGAGAGCGCGACTCCAGAGCGCCGGGAGAGCGATTCCTGAATAAATTGTAAGGAAGTCCCAAGCGAGAGCGCGATTCCTGAATAAAATGCGAAGAAGTCTCGGGCGGGAGCGGGGGTCCTGGCTAAATTGTAAGGACATCTCAGGCGGGAGCCGTTGTTGTTGTTGTAACCCGGGGGCCAGGGGGCCCGTTTGAGCAGGAAGACTTTCCCTGTCAAAAAAAAGGGTGCGAGCGTCGAGGGGCACACTTCGATTAAGAAAAACAGTATGCACTGGTGGGGGGATCAACAATAATCATTCTTCAGAAATGAGAATTCAACAACAACGCTCCCACTCGATGCTTCCTCCTTCTCTCCTTGGGACCTGGGCTTTTGCTCGCCGCCGAAAGCGTGATTTCCAACAAAGCTGGCGCTCCCGCTCGATACTTCCACCCTGGGACAAGGGAGGGGGGGACAATTAGGTCCTCCTCCTCCTCCCTTCCTCCTCCCTTCCTCCTCCTCCTCCCTCCTCCTCCTCCTCCTCCCTTCCACCCAGGAAGTCGGACCCCAGCAACCCTCTTGCGCGGTACCACTCCGGTCGGGTTTTCGACTTGCGTCCGGCCGGAGCGACGAGGAGAGGCGCCCGAACTGTCGACCAAGGAACAGAGACGCAGCGACACGCCGGGACCAACCCCCTCCTCCACTACCAGCACCACCCTCCCTGTCCCTCCATGCCTCCCCTCCTGTCCCCACCCAGCCACACCCCCACCCAGCCCCCCCACTCCTCTGCACCCTCCTCCATCCTCCCTCCCCTCACCCTCCGCTTCTTCCCTTGGCTATCCAGCTCCTCTTCCTCTCATCCTCACCCCGACCCCTTCGCGTTCCCCACGTCCGCCCTGTTCCAGTTCCTCCCTCCTTGCCTCGCCACCGCGCTCCTTGTTCACTCACGCCGTCGGAGCAGGAGCTGGCGGTGGTCCTCAGCCAGCGGAGGAGGGAGGAGGGAGGAGGGAAGGAAAGGAGGGAGGGAGGAGAGAAGAGGGAAGCGAGGGAAGAGAGGAAGGGCCCAGAGTGAGAAGGAGCAAGGGGAAGAGAGAGAGAGAGAGAAAAAAAAAAAAAAGGGGGAGGCCGAAATTCTCAGGAAGGATTACGTGTTCTGCCGACCACGCGGCGCAGCCATGCGAGTCACCCTGCCCAGAGCCGAAGCCAACAGACGGCATGCCTCGCGGGCCCGCTCAAACCTCCAACCCGCCGCTCCCCTGCCTCACGAGTCTCTCGACTCCTGAGCTTCGGCGCCTCGTCCACACAACCGAGCTGCACCCCTGCATGCATCGTTGGCGCTGCGGGCCGCCGCTGTGCGGCCGCCACGCGCAGGGGTTTTGCGCCGGCCGTGTCCGCCCTCACCCTGGCCACCATCGCCTGCTTGACGGGAGCGTCCAAGGAGGGGGGCGCCCAAGAGGGGTGGGCGCAAATCATGAAACCTGGGGAGATATCATGGTCCCCGCCATGATATCCCCCCCCCTAGTCATCACCCCCCTCTTTGCCGCCCCGGGCCCGTGCCCATGCCGCACGCCTCGCCCAGGCCGCCCGGGGCCAAGGCGGGGAGGGCAGGCAAACCTCCGCGACGGGGACCGGCACGGGACCAGCACGCTTTCTCCGCGTCGATGCCGTCGGCCAACCGGCCTCGAAGGGTGCTGACCCCCTCCCGCTGCCTCGCCACCTTCGGCCCGTAGATGCCCACTTCCACGCTCTGCATGGTGCTCTCGCCGTTCGTGCCGACCGCCTAGACTCCTGCCTGGCAGTCTCCCGCGAAGCGGTGTGTACCATTACCAAGAAGGCGGTACACCGGAACACATCAATGCAGCCCTCTTGTAAGACGTACGGCGCATGGTTACCTGCCACTACCATGCTAGCAACACACACTGCATCGTCCTCCTCCTCCTCCTCCTCCTCCTCCTCCTCCTCCTCCCATCATCATCATCATCATCATCCTCCTCCTCCTCCTCCTCCTCCCTCCTCCTCCTCCCCTCCTCCTCCTCCTCCTCCTCCTCCTCCTCCTCCTCCTCCTCCTCCTCCTCCTCCTCCTCCTCCTCCTCCTCCTCCTCCTCATCCTCATCATCATCATCATCATCATCATCATCATCATCATCATCATCATCATCATCATCATCATCATCATCATCATCATCATATCATCATCATCATCATCATCATCATCATCATCATCATCATCATAATCATCATCATCATCATCATCCTCATCATCATCATCATCATCATCATCATCAATCATCATCATCATCATCATCATCATCATCATCATCATCATCATCATCATCATCATCATCATCATCATCATCATCATCATCATCATCATCATCATCATCATCATCATTATCATCATCATCCTCATCATCATCATCATCATCATCATCATCATCATCATCATCATCATCATCATCATCATCATCAGCAGCAGTCATCATCATCATCATCATCCATCATCATCATCAGCATCATCATCATCATCATCATCATCATCATCAGCATCAGCATCAGCATCAGCATCATCATCAGCATCATCATCATCATCGTCATCAGTATCATCATCATCATCATCATCATCATCATCGTCATCATCATCATCATCATCATCATCATCATCATCATCATCATCATCATCATCAACGTCATCATCATCATCATCATCATCATCATCATCAGCATCAGCATCAGCATCAGCATCATCATCATGATCACCATCATCATCATCATCATCATCATCGTCGTCGTCATCGTCATCGTCATCGTCAGCATCATCAGCATCATCATCCTTCTCCCGTCTCCAGAGCTAAACGTTACGAATGCAACGCTCCTCTCTCCCCTAGTTCCGTGCGGGAGATAGTCGGCCCTCTCAGCATGCTGCTATTTGCTTACATGATGCCATCAATTTATGTCTATGACGTTTACACTCCGATTGTTTCTGGTGATTCAGAATGGTGTTCCCGCTTTAGCGTGGGCATAATGTTCGGATCAGCGCGTTGCTCTGCCGTTCAGAATAACGCTCACGCCCCAGCGTGAGCCACTTTTCTTGAGTCCCCTTTCGTCAACGATTCCCCCTCATTTCCCCTCCTCTGTCTTCCCCTGGTCCTCCTGTTCCTCCCGCTCCTTCCACTCCAGTTCCTGCTGCTCCTGTTCGTCCCCGTCCACTTCCTTTCACATCCTCCCCCCATTCCTCCTGATCATCCTACTGACCCGCGATCGCCTCCTCTTTCTATGCACACAGTTCTGCTTTTCCGATTGCGCATAACACGACGGGGTCATTGTTGGAGTTCCATGTCGGCTTTGACACGCGCCAGCGATAGAGACAAAGTCGGCGCAGTGGAAGGGACGGGGGGAAGGGATATGATGTCGGATGACGCGCGAGCGCGCCCAGCTTGCCATCACCCCTCTCACCTCTTCTGTCCTCTCCTCTCCTTTCCTCACACTTCTCTCTCTCTCTCTCTCTCTCTTACCCCTCTTATCCCTCCTCCCTCTCCTCCCTCCTTCACTCCTCCTGCTCCTGCTCGTGCCATCGACCCTTCCCTCCGCCCTAACTTGGCCAGCTGGCCGCAGCATGAGCCCGTGGCGTCAGAGGGCCAGCAGCGAACGGGCACAGAGGAGGCGTCACGAGCACAGCGAGACAAGCCGCGCACAGACGATGAGTCAGGAGAGCGCGAAGCAGACAACAGGCCAAAGGGTAAAGAAACCGCTGGCCTGGCATGGCCCCTCCTCCACCTCCGCCTCCTCGTCCACCTCCGCCTCCTCGTCCACCTCCTCCTCCTCGTCCGTCTCCTCCTCCTCCTCCTCCTCAGCTCCTCCTCCTCCTCCTCCTCCTCCTCCTCCTCCTCCTCCTCCTCCTCCTCCTCCTCCTCCTCCTCCTCCTCCTCCTCCTCCATCTCCTCCTCCATCTCCTCCTCCATCTCCTCCTCCTCCTCCTCCTCCTCCTCTTCCTCCTCCTCCTCCTCCTCCTCCTCCTCCTCATCCTCCTCTTCCTCCTCCTCCTGCTCCTCACTCTCACTCGCACTCTCATTCTCAGTCTCACTCTCGCACTGCACCTGCTGGCGCCCGACACAAGATCGCGGCGGCCGCACGCGCACGCTGTGCTCCCACGCGGTCCCGAGAAGAACGACTTCGCGAAGCCGCCCCTGGCGCGGATAACGTACTTGCGGCTGGAAAACTCGCGGAGGGCCTGCCCCGGCACGGGGGGAGAGCAAGAGGAGGAGCAGCAAGAGGGTCGGGCGGTACCAAGTGTCCCTGGCACAAGGTGTCCCGAGGATTTCCAGGGATATCCCCTTGCCACTGGGGCCAACAGAAAATGAAGCAGCGCGTTCGACGGGGCAACGTTGACATAGCCACAACCTGAGACAACGCGGATGAAAAGCGCGGGCTTCAATTTGCGCGGAAAACGCCTCCAGCACTGAACAGAGCCTCCAGAACACCCCTCGTGAGGCTCTCGAATGGAGCTTGAATTGAGAAACAAAACACGGCATAAATTTAATTTCTCGGAGGTCCGCGCGGATCTCTTGGATCGGCGCTGGACCCCGCCCCTGGCGCGCGGAGCGGGCCATTGGCGGCGCCGGACGCGCCGCTAGGCGGACCCAATACCGATCCAGGAAATCCGCGCCGCTGACCTCCAAGAGATTGTGTTCCTGCCGTTTCTTTTCGAACCATATCAAACCTCACGAGGCCCAGATGACCCAGGCGGCTCTAAAATGGCCACCTGTCGGCAGTGAGAAGGAAGGCCAGCGACAAGCGCGCCGTCCCTCAACCTGTGCGTGTCACTCAATCACCGCCTGCCCAACGCACACCACTCAACAGTGACGCGATGATGGGGTCGTCCGACAGGCGTGGCGTCGGTAATGGTGGAAGGAGGAACGCACCGACACAACTGCTCACCAGACATTTCCTGGGGTGTGGTCTGACCGGGAGTTGCGAAGCGAGGCCAGCCGTGGCGACAAAAGCCTCCCAGGAGGGCCAAAAGGGCGAAAACGATGGAACGGCACGTGTTTTGGTACAGCTTCCTCCTCTAAGCCTCGAAACTCCACGTTTTGGGCCCGGATGCAACCCATGGGAGGTCGGATTCAGCACCGGCGCTGCAAATCCGTTGCCGAAAACTGGCCGAATTCGGCCCTAGTCTTGGGCCGGGATGCATTGCCGGCCTACCCACTGGGGGCAGGGGGACTCGTCGACTAAAAAAGGCGAATGCTACCCTATCGAGCCGGCCTGGCACCAGCAAGGCATAGCGAAACCAAAGGCACTGTCACAGAGAAGGCCGTCGCGCTGAACCACTCGCCCTCCTGGCGGGCGCGGCCGCATTGCACTACGATGCAACGCCGGAGGATGGGAGGGAAGGGAAGACGAAGAGAGAGAGAGAGAGCAGGAGGGGGGCAGCCGGCGGCAGCGTCTGCGCCCCCAGGCCCAACGCCAGGGCTGCGAGACCAGCAGGCACACAGCGGCCAGAGCGTGTCCAGCGAGCGCGGCCAAGACTCGGGCCACCGATTCGGGGGGGGGAGGAGGAGGAGGAGGAGGAGGAGGAGGAGGAGGAGGAGGAGGAGGAGGAGGAGGAGGAGGAGGAGGAGGAGGAACGAGGGGGAAGAGGAGGAACGAGGGGGAAGAGGAGCAAACAGTGAGCAGACACCAACGTGCAGGAGGAGAGGGGGGAGGCAAAGGCAGCAGCAAGCAAGCGCACACGTGGGGGCGGGCGGGGGAAGGGAGGGCCGAGAGGTGTCGGCGGCACTCGGGGGGTCGTCGCGGGTCTTCGTGGGTCGGGGGTCGTCGGGGGAGGCGTGGGTCTGGGGGTCTGGGTCAGGGGTCAGGGGGTCGTGGGTCTGGGGGTCTGTGGGTCGGGGGTCGTCGGGGTCGTCGTGGGCTGAAGGTCTGGGGGCCCGAAAGCAGCTCGCACGGCATCCGCCGTGGCGGCTGCCGTGGCCGCAGCCAGGCGCGCGGCCGTCGCGCCCGCTCGCGGCTGGAGGCGTCGCAGGACTGCCCGCGCATTTTCCCTGTGCAAGGAAATTGATAGTCGCTGGGCAACCTGGTCGGCCGCGAGTGTGGCGTCGTCTCCAGTAGCGTCGGCCGCGCGCTTGGCGAGCACCGCGAAGGCGCGTCGCACCTCGCGGCCCCAGCCGCCGCCGTGACCCTCACAAACCATCGGTGTGCACGTCAGGCCGGCCTCTGAGCATCTGTGCGCTGTGTCCAAGTGCAGGCGTTTCTGCTCCTCGCAGCGGGTCGCCGCCGCGTCGCCGCCGCCCTCCGCGGCCGAAAGTGCGAGCAGGTCCGCGCGGAGCCCCGAGGTCACGGCGAAGTCCTACGCCGCCGGCGCGCCGCCTCGCCAGCGCGGGACGAAGACGTCCGCGGGGCACCCAAGACGATCCAAAAAGCCTCGGCGACAATGCCAAAATCATTGATTTTACTAAAAAGTGTGGGCCACATTTTGGCCTCCTGGGTGGGGGCACTGCTTAAGATGACTCCAAGAGCGCCTGGGGGAGCCCAAGATGACCTTCAAGATGGCTCAAGACATCCCAAGATGCGTCAAGATGGCTCCCACGATGCTCCAAGAGGCCCCAAAACCGCTCCAAGACAGCTCCAAATGGCCAAAGAGCTCCCCCGCGAGGCCCCGAAGGGGCCAAAATCCTTTTAAAACCTTAGGGGAAATCAATGTGTTTGGGCCTTTTCGCTTCCGATGGCCATCCAAGGCTTCAAGGTGGCTCCAAGATGGCCCAAGAGGGCTCCAAGAAAGCTCCCAAGGCTCCCGAGAGCGTTTCAAGAGGGCCCCAAGAGGCGCCCAGGAGGCCCCAGGAGGCCCCAACAGGTGCCCCAGGGGCCTCCAAGAGGCTCCCAAGAGACCCCCAAGAGGCCCCAAGAAGCTCTCCGAGGCACCCAAG